CCCCCCCCACCCCGGCCGCCGGAACCGGGCGGCGCGCGGCGACGGAGAAGCGGGCGAAAGCTGCGCGGCGACCTCCCCGCCCGGCCGGGGAGCCTTGCGAGGGGCGGCAGCCTCGGCGATCCCCGACCCGGCTGCAGGCTGCGCCCCGCGGGCCGGAAGGCTGCGCCCGCTCCTCGCCACCCTTCCCTCCCCTCCCTGAAGCCTGGCCAGACCCCTCGGGGACGCTCAGAGGCGCACCGCCGCTGTCTACCCGGGGAAGACGCGACTTTGCTGTTTTTGTCTTTGGGGGTTTTTTAATGGTGGCTGTTAGGCTTCCCCCGCTCCCCAGCCTTCCTGTCCCCGACGCTCGGGAAAGGCGCGTTCGCCCCGGGTGCAGCACCGGGCACCGCGACCGGGCGGGCTCAACCCTGGTAGGAAATGAAGTGGGTGTCTCCAGACCACAGCCTCCGGGCGCCGCTGGGGGAAGCCTGCGTGGTGCTCCAAATCCACCTGCAAGCCCCGGGGCGCCAGGGTCTTTGCTGCCACCGCTCGCCCCAAAATGAGCTCTCAAGCGTCACCTGACCGCTGGTGCCACCGTCTTTCCGGGCCAGTCTGCCTGGTTCCCAGACCTGCAGGAGAGATGACCTTAAAGCCGGCCGCCCTCCCTCACCCCATTCAACCCGAGAGCTGGGCTGGAAAGAGCCCGCTTCTGATTCAGTGAAATCGCTGGGCCACTTCACTTGCGTCTTCCCGACCCTACTTCGGAGAAGCTTCTCCAACGCAAACCCCTTCCAGGCGTCCCATTCGGTAAACCTTTTTGTTTGCTTATTTATTTTTATTTTTATTGACTTTTTTTTTTTTAATTTAAGGGTTCACGATTTCAGTCATGGAAAGGGGACAAAAATAAAAAGGAAATAATTCTAGAGATACATAAATCGACACGGCCAGTGAAGTACATACACTCTATCCCAAAGGCTACAATGCAAATCTCGCCACTTGGATTTGCAAACAGGGTTCCTGTCTTAAGCGATGTGTCCTCCAAAGTCCTAACAGTCTTGGGCTATTTTTTGACTGGGACTCCAGGTATAGAAACACTATGACACTACAGTACTTGCCATGATCTCTTATGTGTGCGCTTATTTTTTAAATCACTATTATTATTATTAATTTTTTCTTTATTTTCTGACCAAAAATACCTTCCAATTTCTCTGAAATGTATATGTTAGATACCCATCCCTTAATGTTTTAGATCTTTTCTCAGCAAGTCCCTCTTAAAGGTACAAGTACTCTTTAAAGACCTGACATTTAACATATCTACTTTACCTTTTCATTGACAGCCGGAGTGAGTCCCCCCAGAGGACAAGGAACAGGGGAGGTTCTGAAATGGGAGAAGGTGGGGAAAAAAACCCCAGGCTTCCAGCCTGATGTTGCTCCATCTGTAATGCACACTTGTCATTTCAAGGAGGATAAAAAGCAATGTCAATATATACATATCCAACTCTTCCCTTGTTCTGGAAGCACCATCTTACAACTGAGAGAAAGGGCCACCCATTGTTGAATCTAAGACCCTTCTACTGAATGGAAGGAAGAATCTTGAGATAATCCCTAAAAGCAGAAAAGTGGCTCACTGGTCAGCTGAGCGGTGGTCATGAGGGTCTGTGGGTTTCTGATGACATCTGTGCCAGTAAGGTAGTTAAGATTTTTACTCCGATCTTGAATGGACCACATATAATTTAAACCCACGATTTGGAAGCATTTGTATTTCTCCCTCGCTCCAGAGGTAGCCAGCTTCAAATATGGGGAACACTTATTAATACTTCAGTTGAGCTCTGCATACAACTTCCTCTGGATATAGATATCTTTTTTTTTTTTTTTTTTTTTTTTTTTTACCATTGTCTGAACAACAATTAGAATGGCATTCGTCCATGGAATAAAACTGTTCCTCTCCTTACCCTTTCCACATAAACTTGTCCCCAGTATGCTCCTAGTCTCTGATGTCCAGAAGTAGAAATGTCCACTGCGAGCTGTTGTCCAAACACTGATGACCATGTTCACGATCAACACAAAACACACATTTTGTGCCAAGAAAGGTAGTGACTCTAGATTAAACAAATATCATAGTCCAAGATTCTGGATGGAGAAAAGAGTAAGCCAGAAATTGATATTCCTCATCACAGTAAATTACTGAATTTGTAAAATGTCTATTTTCTGTGAACTTCATCTGTTTCAAAGACTGTGTTTATGTTTGTACCCGCAGCATAAGGCATGATTCGTAGGAATTAAAAAATACACGTGGGGTGAATTAAAGTTACAAGAACATAGAAGTGGTGGGTAGCCTTTTTTATCTGTTACGGGTCACTGAATCAGAGGAAAATAATTATTTGTAAATAAGTATATAAATGTTATGTAAATTCTACACAGAGATAAGCAAATAGCAAGGTTTTAAGAGATATTTTGAGAAATTCCAAAAGAAAGTCCACTGCTTTATATTAAATATAAAAAATATATGTAACTATTGGATTAGTTAAATTTATTTTAAACTGTTCTTCAGTATCTTATTGTGAGCTAGGAAAATGAAAGTAAATGGAAAGGATGAAAAGGGAAAAGGGAGATGAAAGATCCAACAACAAGAGAGGAAGCCAATGAGGTGGGAAGGGGTGTCATGGGAAGAAGCAGGGAGGGAAGAGAGAGGGAAAAGGCTCAGAATCCCTTCGTTTCTGGGCCTAGCATCAACAATCCTCAGAAAACCCATTCTCACATCTCTGCTTAAAATCCGGAGTTTATGGGAGTTTGCTTAGACCGTGGGTTGCTTGTGTCATCAATGATAAAACTGCATCAAACAAGATTTTCTCATGTTTTCATAAAAGGTCACTGAGCCATAACTCTTATGTGGTGAAAAAAAACTCTAGTCCAAACTGGTTTTTAACTTGTGAATGCACATTGGCAAGTCAAACACCACCACCCCTTTTCCAGAATTTCTGCTCATAATTTGCAACCAATAATTGTGTGTGTGTGTGTGTGTGTGTGTGTGAGAGAGAGAGAGAGAGAGAGAGAGAGAGAGAGAGAGAGAGAGAACCTGTGTATATGCATACACATTATCAACATCTAGCCTGACTCACTGTAATATGGGATCATCCAGGTTACAGATAGATAATCTGAAATTCAAATCTAAAAGAGATTATTTCGTGGTTAAAGAAAAAAAAAGGCATTGTGATTTGGAGTACTCAGGGCTAATACTAAACTATTCGCATGTTTCAAAATGAGTCCCAAAAATCACTGAAGAATGCATTCCTAATACGTAGCATATTACATATCTCGCTTCTCAAATTCTTCAGCATTTATAATTTTTGTTAATCTTAAAAAAGTCTAAAACTATAGACTCCTATCTGACACATATTTGCACATTACAAGGAAGATTCTCTAGCCAGTCATCCAGGATTACATTTCCTACGCTTACCTCAGTTGTCGAAGTTGAGAAGGAAGTATCCTGTTCCCCAAGTTCCCCTCACCCCCCCAATCTCAGTCATTTTTCCTACTTCCGGCATCTTTAATCACTATATTCAGGACGATATTAGAGCAAAGATCAGGGAGTCTTTGGACAAGGTCTTCAATTATTATCTCAAGTGGGGAAACAGAAGGGCAATAGATTAGCTGTTAGCAAACTTAAGGTTATAGAAATTCTGGGCAATAAGAAACTTAATCTGTCAGATAGGCCAGTGCCATTTCTCTTTATCTGTGAGAAAATAAATAGAAACTGTGTGCCAAGTGTGACTGTACTTAATCCTGTGCATATGAGCGTGTGAATATAGTCGTCCTTAGAGTCAAGGTGTCCAGCCACAAGCCTCAACCTCATCAATCTCTTTCTTCCTTCCTTCCTATCTCACAAACTGGCCTGCTTTAATTCTTCCTTATTGAGTTTCTTCCTTCCTCTTCAGGACCCTTGCAAAGACTGTCCCCTCTGTCTGGAGCATACCCATTTATTTCCCCCAACCACCCACCTAAGCTGATGCTTTTTCATCTTTCAGCTCCACAGGAAGTCATATGCCATGGATGACAGACACTCCCTCAATTGATTCTGGACCTCCTTTATGTGTTCTCATGAGACCCCCTCTACTTTTTCAGCAGAGGACGCAGGACGGCTTGGCATTTCATACACCTGAGATATTTAATGGACACATTTTCGCAGGCTTTGCACTATAAATTCCACAAGAGGAATTTATCTTCAGCTCTTAGCACGGTGCTAGTCACAACCAAGTACATACCTATAAATGACTGCATGAAAGAAAAATAGATACAATTCAGGAAAGCCATTGTCTGGGCCTTGGAGAGCTGTACAACCGGGACACGATAGAATAAAAAAAGATAAAGGACTCATTTTACCCTGTTTACATCACTTATGGAAATCTCTGATATTTTTCAAAACTCCTACCATACCTTCAAGGATAAAATACATCATTCCATAGAAACCATATTTTGAGGCAAGTACGTTTTTGAAAATAATTAACAAAAATGAAATAGAGAATCATAAAGAAAGGAGATCAACTTATAGCATTTTGACATTCTAAATGAATCAATCCTTCATCTTGGTCAATTCTGTGAGATATTTTCCTCATTTATGCTTTGATTGTTTTGTCTTAATAAAAATATTCAACTATGTTCTAAGTTAGTTTTAGTGTGTTCTGTACAAAGCTGGGAATGCCTTGGGGAAAATTTATATTACTGTTAATACAGAGTATATGAGTAAGGAATAATAGACTAAATGAAATTTGTAAAATACAATGATTTATTATGAGATGACAATTATACTGCCACAGCACTTATTAAAAAAGGAAAAATTAATATGAGCCTTCTGATTTCAGAAGGGTCCGTGAATGTGACAGAATATGAAAAGTACCTGTTAAGATCAGAAATTTTGAGAGAGGACAGTAGAAAAATGGGCAGTTAGGATGAAGTTATAATGCAAAAGATCCAGGTTCACAATAAAGGGTGTGTGAACATATTCCCCCAGTAAGAAGACAAAGTTTATGCTCTAAATTTCCACTTGTATTTAACATCTGCATTTTATGATCTGATTTGCTTGTTTTGTTTTATTTATCTACTTATTTTGAGACAGAGACAGAGAGAGAGTGCATGTGTAAGAGCAAGCAGGGGAGGAACAGAGAGAGAACCTCAAACAGGTTCCGCTTGGTCAGTGCATCGCTTGACTCACAGCTCCATCCCATGAACCATGAGATCATGACCTGAGCCAAAATCAAAAGTCAGATCATTAAGAGACTGAGCCGCCCAGGCGCCTCTGATTTGTTTTGAATGTCATCATTGGGAATCATTTGGCATGAAACAGAAGTGAAAATCTGAAATTTGAAGCATTTATGATATTCTTGATTTTACAATTCAGGGAGTTAATGCTATTTTTTTTCATGGAACACACCTAAAAAGTCCTGTATATGTAAATATGATTTACAAATAGATACATTCATGAGTTTTTAATGTAAATAAAGGGATTGTATGCTTTGAAAAGTAATTTAGTTTTTCTTTTTGATAGGGAGTTCCACAAATGCATTTGAAATACTTTATTTTTCAAAATATTATTTAAACATTATTTCCCTTATATGTAATGACATATATTGCCTTAGTTTTTTTTTTTCTTTTTTACCGAAAAGTGGAGCCCATCTCAAAATGTTCTCTCATTGATAGAAGGATCCATCAGGCTAACATTAACCATGCTGAGAGCCAGCTAATGTCTTTTCAAAAGGTAAAATACCTCATAGCTTTTGGGAGAACTTTTTCAAATATGACTTTTAATATTTTGCCCTACCAAAATTATCTTTAAGACTAAAAATTTGTGGGGCACCTGGGTGGTTCAGTTGGTTAAGCGTCCAACTTCGGCGCAGGTCACGATCTCATAGTTTGTGAGTTCAAGCCCTGTGTTGGGCTCTGTGCTGACAGCTCAGAGCCTCGAGCCTGCTTTGGATTCTGTGCCTCCCTCTCTCTCCGCTCCTCTTCTGTTTGTTCTCTCTCTCTCTAAGGAATAAACATTCCTTCCTTCCTTCCTTCCTTCCTTCCTTCCTTCCTTCCTTCCTTCCATAATAGCCATCCTAATGGCTGTGAAACAGTATCTCATTGTGATTTGGGGTTTGCATCTCCCTAATTATGACTGAGGTCGAGCATCTTTGCATGTGCTTATCGATCATTTGTGTATCTTCTTTGAAGAAATGCCTTTGCGCATTTTAAAAATTAGGCTGTTTGTTTTCTTTTTGCCTTGTCGTAGTTCTTTATATATTCTTGATATTAAACCCTTACAGATACATGATTTTCAAACATTTTCTGTCATTCTGTGTGTTATCTTTTCACTCAGTGTCCTGAGATGCACAAAAGTTTTAATTCTGATGTAGTCCAGTTTATCTACTTTTCTTTTAAATGCAGTATATACTTTTTTTTAGACTCTTAACAAATATTTATTGAATGGATGAAAGAATTCAGGTAATTTATGGTTACACACTTATTACACATAATGCTGCAATAGACTTTATTATAGTTAAATTTTCGTATACAACTTTCAAATTTTTTCGTAGGATGAACTTCCTAGAATGGGGTTTCTGGGTCAAAGGAATTATATACTTTTTAAAAATGTTAACTAATTCAAAACCATAATGAGCAAAATATCCAAATTTAAAATATATACAGGTCAGTATCACTAGTGTTTTCTTTGCCTCAGGTTCCAATATGGCTCTATACAGCATTACTCTGTGTATTTTCTACACTATGCATTGTGAAACGTAAGAAATCTTATGGGTGCAAATACTACTGTTAACACAAGTACATAAATTATGTAAAAAAGATTCTATAGGAAGGGTTCTACACTATAACACAAATAGTACCGGGTTAATGTAAGTTCACAATTCTCTTTATTTGGGTTCTCTGTATTTTCAGAATAAGATAAGATATAAAATTCAGGTCTATATTTTTAGCTTGGTCACTTTTCTTCCTTCCTTCCTTCTTCCATTCCTTCTTCCTTCCTTCCCTCTTTCCTTCCTTCCTCCCTTCCTTCTTTCCTTCCTTCCTTCCTTCTCTGTACAAATGTGATTATTCTTATTAGTTAGAAAATGGTCTTATTTATTGGTGGGAATCACAGCTGGAACACTACCTCAGGGGAGTTACCGCAGGAGGAGATGCCCTAGAGAGCAGGCAGCAAAGTCTGTAAAAAACTATTTTGTGCATGCTGTTGTGCCTAACCCTTTCTGTCACCGCAAGAGGCCATATTTTCATATTAATCAAGAGACTGCAAATCTTCCAAAAGCTCATGGAAAGTTTGGGATATTAATAGATTTAATAGATTTCTTTCTAAATGTCAGCATATGGCACTCTAAAGATTCCTTTTCTCTGAACCACTAGTGACTATACGTAGATTTACCTTGCTGAACAGAGCATACACATTTCTCATTGTTCTACAACTATGTAACCTCTACTTTTGTCAAATGAAAACAATAAACCAGATTAATGTAAGTTTGTTTCTTTGTACTGTTTTCCATTGTCAAACACTGAGACCTTCTTTTTTAAATGATTGGATCAATGGTGGACTTTGTTTTGAAGCTTGTATTTAAGAAGGTATTTAAGAAGAGTGCAGTTCATGCTCTTCACATCCTTAGAAATCAGTCCTCAAAGACCACAGCACCACCTGTCAATCCAGCAGACACCACCATGTAACAACAAAGACCATGAAAGTTGCTTGTCAACTACTTTGAGTTGGAGCAGTTTACTTTCTCAATAGATGAGAACAGAGGACTTTTTCTTTTTTTTTTTTTTTTTTGAACAAAATGAAACTGAGTTTTATAAAGCCATCTGAATCTTTTTAACTGCTTTCTTTTAACACGCACAGTAAAATCTTTCATATGAATTTCATTAAGCTTCAAGGTCATTTAGGAGAAAATGGTAAGCATATCAATGACAGAAGTGCTTTGCATTCAATGCCTATCAAATAAATATGTGTTAATAATAGACTCTTCCATTCATTTCCTGTTATTGCCAGCAGATTTGGAAAGAGATCATAATATACGAGATATTCTCTCATTCTCTTTTCTAACTAGGAACACATCTACCACAGAATACATAATGTTATGTCGCTGCGGTTATTTTTACTTTCAGTAAATAATAAGAGAGAGACAGGGTAAATAGTCTATTATTCTCTTAACTGATTTTTCATTTTAACTGAATGTCCAAGATTATCCCATTAATTTTAAGAGAGAAATATATTTATTTCCATGATCCAAGATTGGACTTTAAATCACAAAGATATTTTATAAGTATATTAAAATCACAGAAATCCACAATCTGAACATGTTGCATTTTTGTAATATACATTCACAGTTTTAACTGAGACTAATGTCCCCAGCAGGGAAATATATCTGAAAAGTAAGATATCCTTTTAATATATTTGTATTTTTTAATTCCTGAAATAAATTCACTTGTGTGGGCAAGAATCTAAGTTCTTACTTAATTTTTTTATATATGCTTATCTTGAAAAATTATATTGCAACAATACTTAATTATATGTATAATGCATAGTAATCTTTATGCAAACTGTGTTATACAGACATGTCAAGATACAAAAATTTTTTTTTATTTTATTTATTTTTTTTAATTTTTTTTTTTCAACGTTTATTTATTTTTGGGACAGAGAGAGACAGAGCATGAACGGGGGAGGGGCAGAGAGAGAGGGAGACACAGAATCGGAAACAGGCTCCAGGCTCTGAGCCATCAGCCCAGAGCCTGACGCGGGGCTCGAACTCACGGACCGCGAGATCGTGACCTGGCTGAAGTCGGACGCTTAACCGACTGCGCCACTCAGGCGCCCCAGAAATTTTTACTAATTGTGAATTTCAGATATGGTGCAACTTATTGGAATTTCAATCATGATCGTGAAAAGAAAAGATTATCTTCAAATTAGTACATAATCAGTGTTATCAATAAATTTGTAACTAGTGTGCTATGTGGCTTGTTAATTGTTGCAGCTTACTGATCACTGTGACTTGTACATAAAATTTTGAAAACACATTGCTAGTGGAAGAAAATCCCTGCACCAAAGAAAAAAATCTCTTTAAGTCAAAATAATGAACGATACAAAAAATGTTTTTAGGACTGAGGTGACCTGATATGATATTTCTCAAAGACAAAAGGATAGCTATGGTAAAGTCCTGATTAACTAGAATTCTCTGGAATAGCTGGTACAATTTGTTACATTTTTGATTGAGAGTTTTAATGGGCATAGCGCTCCTTTCAATTATTTATTGATTTCTTACCAATGTATTAGAATAGTTCCACCCTTAGTCAAAAGGATAGTAAACATTCTCAGCAACAGGCTTTTTAGCTAAGTTTATTCATTTTTTTAAGCATAAATTGATTTTAGGCTTGAATAATCCTACCTTACTATCTGTTGGTATCTCACATTTAGACATCCATCGGAAATGTCAAGAGTCAGAACACAATATACAGTACAGGTGTTACTGAACGTTTAATCTTTGACATTCTGGTAGGTAAAAATCATATTCACTATAATTTAATATTAATTTATTAGAATCTGTTCAATCATTTGCATCTTTTAAGGTCCATTTGTAGTGTTGAGATTGTGACTCATATTTTCACACCCATTGCCCAATTTTTTTTTT